AACAGACTAGGAAAATAGGGGAGAAATTAGACTTCTCAGCATTTACGAAATTAAAAATGTAGGAAAAGTTGCTACTTTCAGCTACTAGTTTTCAGGAGGGAGACTTTCTGAAGTTACTGGGTTTCAAAATCGTATTCTAAGGAAATATGCTCCAAGTTTGAGTTACACTTGTCTTCTAGTTAAGTACGTTTCCGGCCTCGGCCTGGGGCACCGTGCTTCTTTTAAATGATTAAGTTCATCTGGAGAAGTTCTGGAGCATCTCCTTTAACCCCGAGTCCTTCACACCTCCCAGCCTTAGAGCGGGCCAAGGAAAGAGAATGAATCTATTCTCAGTGGGGACTTTTGCTGTTTTCTCAGCCTTTATACTTGAGGGATGTTTTTGTCATTTTAATGACTCCTTTGACTCTAACTGTCCAGTCTGGGCGGAGAAACGAAACTGCCCTAGTGATGTGATTATCCTCACTCTAGTCAGAAACCAGCTTTGGTCACAGCGACTAGCCTGTTCTGGAGCTGATACTGTTTTTAAAGTGAATGACAAAGTGAGCAGCCCACACTGAGGTCACCGAGTACTGGAAAAGGCAAGCTCTTTTAAAGCAAACCGAGGTTTGAACGCATCGTATATCACCGACATCATGTTTTTGGTCACTTAAGCAAGGGAGCATGGCACAGAGTGACCTCTGGGGCAGGACTGCCTGGGCTAGTAGTATTTCGCTTTGCCACTTTCTAGCTGGGACGCCTTGGGCAAGTTGCTTAACCTCTCTGTGCCTGCGTTTTTTCATCCACAAAAGTACCTGCTTCATAGGATTGTAATACGGATTATATTCGCTAATCCTGTGACATTTGAAACAGTACCTGGCACGTTGGGAAAACATTCAGGGATGTTAGCTAACAACATTTTAAAACACACATACACACCCACACCCACACTTCATTTTTTTGACGTGGCCACATTATTTGTGTCAGGTTATTTTGTACAACCCAAAATGGAAGGAACAGTCAAGGTGGGGAATGAGTTTTTGTTCTGGAAGGTCTAAGATGTATTTCTCTATAAAATTAATTAATCACACTATTTGGCTAACTTAATTCCCAAACTGAGATCATTAAAATTTGTGAAAATCTACCAAACTTACACCAGATCAGAAAGAGACTTATTAAAGAATGCACCCATTTAGGTTTAAATCAGTATTCGGAGCCGAAACGTACAGGGTGCGCGCCCCCCCGGCCTGGCCCAGGCGAGGCGCTTCCCCAACAGCGTGGCAACCTGGGCGGGGGAGGCGGCTCCCAGGGGCCGCCGGCGTCCTCCACGTGGAGCTCGCCGCACTCGGCGCTCGGGAGGCCGGCTGGGGAAAGGGAGCTGGAGAACCACCTGGAACCGCACACCCGAGGCTCAGTCCCAGGCTGAAACGCACAGGTTCCCGGCAGACGGGCCGCGGGAACCCCCGAGGTTTATTTTTGCAGCCGACAGGGCAGCGGCGGGAAAGCTGCCGCGCTCCGGCCCACGGCAGGGTCAGCCCGCGTCGCTTCCACGTGGGCTCCATCCCACCACGGGCCCTCGGGTTCGGGCCGACCGCGTTTCTTAGGCCACGGGCAAGGGACTGCAATCGGTTTCCGAGGCTTCGCGCAAACCCGCGCAGGCCCAGGGCTACCGGTTAGGCCGCCGGCCGGGCGCGCACCAGCCGCCTGAGCCCAGGGAGGGCTCGCACAGACCGAGCCAAGATCTTCCTCCGGCGAATCACGACGCTGACACGCGGGTTCAACCGCCCACGCCCATAGGGTTTTAATGCCTTCAAAATGTCTAAATGCTTTCAAAATGTCTCCCCTCTCCCCTACTCTCTAGCCAGGAAGACGTGTTTTACCCACGTGCCTGGACGGCAGCCCCCCTGGTTATTACTGCTCGGGCTCCCTCCACTCTGCTGCCCGAGG